GAGGAAGTGCTATATATGGCCATTTACAGTTCCAATACAAAGTTATTATTGATTACACGTTTTTTTAAGTTTAATGCAGTACACCGGTCGATACTTTCGCTGTACTGACTTCGTGCATACTTTAAGGTATCCTCGTAATAACCTCATATTATTATAATGTCAGGTAGAAATAACTTTGTCAGCAACTTTGACAAATAAATTAATCATTATAATTGTATATGAACTAATAATTACAAAAACATAGGGCCAGTATATTTTATAATCCGTATGTCCAAAATTAATGCGATGAGAGTTTGAGAACAGACATTTTCAAGGCAAAAGTTAATAAACTACTAGCAATAATGGAAGCAAACGGAGGCTTATGTATATTTTGTGTAGCTTCAAGGCAAGCTCGTTTGCAGTTACTATGATGCCTCAGCGACGTTCAAACCTCATAATTGTTATATCATGAGAACATAAAAACTTATATAATGTACATGTCCATTTAAATCTTCAATAATAATAGCATTAAAACATAAAATAGCGAATGTCATGAAATCGTGTGATTGCCACGCGAAGCACCTAGTTATATGGTCAGTCGTGCAATGGGGGGGGGAGGCAGAAAATATAAATAGTTATTGATGATTGAGGCTAAACCATATGATGACACTCAATTGGCTCGAAGATAATTAATCAAGTAATTACATGTAATCAGTAGAGTTAGTGTGATTCATTTCACCACAAAGCAGACGAAAATCAATTTCACCACCCGTGGCTAGGCGCCAACTGTTCAACTAATTGATGGGTTAATTACTAGTTAACGTAGAAAGATGTACCTATTTTATTTATGAGACGATATGATGGACAATTATGCTTGTGTTTTTGCTAACGTTAGCACGATTGCACTGGGGTTTGTCGTGGTTTCTGGAACTGTCGGAAATGTGTGGGATGATCGAGGGACGTTAAAACACTGACTGTGTTCCTATACAATATTGATAAAGTTAAATATTCAGGTGTTATTTGTATTTTGGAACATTAAAAAACAATGGTCGCCGAGCCACGCATGCGCGAGATGTGGGTTCCATATAAACAGAGATGGCGACTTTGACTGTCGCGCACACCAACGAGTACAAACTGAGCGGTTACCAAGTTTTAATCATAGTCCCTTCACAACGTGGAGAGACTGTGTTTTAATTAGGTAATTTTTTGGTGGTGTTTGGAAAGTGTAGAAGAAGTCCCCGGCGGTAATTAGTGCAAGTGACGCCCAAGTTAAAACTCATGCTCGTCATTTCATTAGAAAAGCGCATCAGATTGTGGGAAAATCAATGTTTATCAACACAAATGTCGCACATGCGTGGCGCTACGACAACTATCCTTTAAGCATATTGTGGACGTCTCAGACTTCGCTCAAGATTTCATGCTTTAAAGGCGGAATAAAACACACGTAGTAAAGCACTAGCATATAGATAATTGTTGTTATAGCAACAGTGATCGTTTTAAATTTGCTCCTGGTACGAATATACAGGTGTGATCGGTGAACCTATCGCATACATCTGTCCGCGATGCCGGTAGTAATATGTATATAGTTTGCCTTGTGTATATATCAGAGATTGTTGCACATGTCATTAAGCGGACAATTATACAGACATTCGATTAATGAAGTAATGACCTTCTCTGTCAAGTACGTTTATCTAGTTTGATCCGCAATTTCGATTTCCTCAAATGTCTGCAGTCCATCATTAAAATGCGTTTGTAAATTTGGTTTACAAATTTTCGTATTAAGTCACACTTAAACGTGCTTGTTGTACAAGAATATCGTCTTCCCGGTATAATTTAAATTTTGTGTTTTTTTCCTTATATGAACAATATTTTACGTGACACGATCCACGATCAGACAAGTGTGCTATCGTAATTGCAGAAGGACGATTTGTGTAGGGTTTCACAAAAAACGCTCGCGTGCAGCGTGTCTGCGATAGATTAAATGTCACAATTAGAATACTCAAATAGCTGCTTCCCATTTTCCATTTGTTCACCCTGCGTTCGTTTAAGTGTTCAAACTTTCCTGTACGTGCTGCCACTTGTTCATTGATGGCTGACTCTATCTCTTGATGATTTGGACTAGATTTACAAGGACATGTTATCTAGCTTATTCAATTAACTCACAACATGATGCTTTTTTCTGTTCTGGAAGGAATGTTAATTACATAATGTATTTACGCGTTCCGTTTCTTCTCGTTGTCGTACGATTACTGTCCACATGTCAACAGATTACGTGAGTTACGTTATTAACCCGAATGTCTTAGTGAAATCCTGAAGAAAACGTTCACTATTATGATGTTACGTTTTTGAAAAGGTCAGAGTTTACAACCGATTATCGATAGAAACACTTGAAAAAACAAATTGTTACGAAATAGACGTCACGTTTATTTTCTTGTTGTCCAAGTTGTGCCCTAGTCATGTAGTCTATGAAACACTGTTGCACAGGATTACTAATTGATTTCTATTCGACATTGGTTTGTTTGTATATCAAAAATCGAAACATACCTTGTTCCTGATTATTACCTGTAGTACAGTTATTTCCCCCACGAAGCCATTCAATTTCAATGTTGTGAACAAATTGTATAAAATATGTCTGCAGCCTCGACATTTTATCTAGGGTCGCACTTTATTTCTCGAAAGAGCTCTCAAAGTCGGGCTTTATCATATACTTGAAATAGTAAAATCCAGCGGCTTTTTATTCACGAATCCTTATCGAGTATACCGGATCTACGTAATGTAATTCAAAGTTGTTCTCATTCATTTAATATTTCTATCGGTGGCTTCTCTTTACAGAGTCAATTCTAGAATCAATTTACTCTTAAACAAAAAAAATGGCATACCCATACAGGGATAATGAAACGCGCAAACACTCAATCTAGCGTGATTAATTGGATAGCTATTTCGTATGTTATCTGAAAGGACGTAATGTTTTATTCACGATCAAATATTGAGTAAACTCCCAGACAAGTGTCTTAATTACACAGCCACGTCAAACTTGAACAAAAAAACATAGATACTCTGCCGCATATAACTTACTAATTAGGTACAACCAAATATTCGATATAATTTATCAAGAAATAACCCTGAACCTACTTCAAGTTGTTGAAGAAATGAGGTCATAAGATGAAATAAATTTAGTTTTAATTAAAAGCAAATGTTTTCTAATTAACCGTTCAACAAAGTCGCAATGCGTAATCTGTATGCCACTTGTCACACGTTGCGATGACAACGTATAATAATATGAAGGCTGGAATATAGAATACATACGCACGTGTCTTAGTATATTTTTTTATCAAATGAAGAAAATATAATGACGGGACGTATTCAATTAGTTCTTCACGTTGTGAAACAATGTCACGTGCGTGTGCATGCAAGTCGACCATTTTATTTGAGATTATCCGTTAAATAGCTCATTAATCTGTTACAGTTATAAAATATATTTATTTTTTCCCCTCTATCCGAGTTTTCAGTAAATATATGCATTTTCTAAATATATATATGGCCGCTGAGATCTCGCTAACAGTGAGACAGTCACGCGACTTGTTTTTGCCCTTTATCACATTTACTCTCCCACTTATATTGTATGTTGTGTTCAGTCGATCACAAACTTCGGAAATATCGAACGTACACATAACTTGTGTGAAAATATATGAGATAGCATTCCGTATAATGCATGGCCGAGAGTAACTGGAAAATGTGTGTTTGTTCTTTGAAAACAAACACATCATTCAAGGGATTAAAATGGCTGGTTTATTGAAAGATTTTGCAAATTTCAGGAAGATATGTAAAGACGAATTCTCGATCGTTTCAGATGAATATAATTATGTGAGCATTGATTACTCGCATACGCATTGACGACTTGGAATATCCAAGTGTCTGTCGCTAATTCGAACTTCTCCTCAGGGAACAGTTACATGTTATGACGATCTCGTTAGATAGAAATTTGAATTTCAATAAAACGACCGAGTGAGCAGTTGAACGCCACGAGAAAACAATTGTCAGCATTTTCTTGTTATATATATTCCGTAATTCATTAATGATGTTTGAGTGATTTGAGTTCTTAATTGATGGCAATACAGATGCATGTTTCCCCTCAAATTTAATTTAAGTGTAGCACAGTAACAACGTGCATATCTATAAATCGACATTAGATTGACACGGCACTTAGAAGTTACAGATGCAAATCGAATGAGGCATTCAGTTGGAAACCGGTAAACGCAGCCGTTTGTTAAAAAAGAATTGAGGTAGTTTGCGAGTAAATTGTAATTCTGTCTGGTGTGATATAGTGCAAATTTGCTTTTCGGTGTTCGTTGTAGTCAGTACTGCCTAGTATGGAGCCCTACTCACGATGATACTGATGACCCCCCCCCCCGGTTAGCATGTGATTGTCTATTGCATAATGGATTGTATTTTGTTTTATCTATTAATGTATATTGAAATGAATCGCTGCTCATGTCGAACGAGATTTCCTTGTCTACATAACCGTTTGGGATAATAAACAAAATCAGAGTTTATTAAAGGTTAGACAGAGAAGTTGGCGGCGACGCTAGACATGCGAATGTTGTTACGTCACGTCACGTCACGTCACGTCACGTCACGTCACG